TTTTTTCTCCATTCTTTCCTACTGTTTTAGTAAACCAGAAACATAAAAGGCAAAAAGGTGATGTATGCATAAGAGAGTGACATTTAGTATCTATGTCTCTATGAGGAAAACTGGTATGTTAATGCAATGGAAGCAAATGCTATGTAGTGATAGTTATTAAGACCAAAATTTTCAAACTTGAATGCTTAAACTAAGCAATTAAATGTATATATAGTCACCTGAATTAAGTATTCCATTTTGAGAGATGCTGGGATATCAGAAATCAAGTAGTCAATCCATTTTGAAAATCAGACTATTAATATAGATGCTTTACTTTAGTCACTCACATTTGAAAATGTTGGTTTGTGAGTACAGACACCTGAGAAAATTATCACATAACATGCACAGACATGAGGAACTAGACTAGAACATCATCTTACTTTCCTATTAAAAAACACCACCTAGTACTTGAGCTGAAGGAGAAGTCGCACAGTTTCTGGTAGTAGAAGATCTCGTATCCTTTTAGTAGACTCACTGCTTGAGAAAAGCTTTACCCATTTGCTTAGTTACTCAGAGTAGATACTGTATGCTAGACTTCTGGAGGCCCAGTTGAGTTTCCTGTAAAATCCTTTGCTTGTGCAATATTGTCCACTGCTTGAGTCTTCATATAATTTGTGATTAACAGAACACTCAGGACCATGTACTGTCAAGAACTTATATGCCAATTCCCATATAATAATAATAAGGGAAATAATAAGAATTGCTTGAAGATGGTAAGGAACTTAAACATAAAAATATCAATGTCGAACTTCCATTTTGCCTCTAACGTGATGCAGACAGGGGTATCAAACTCTTCGGGCCCCACAGGGCCAGATGAGTGGCATGGAACCAGTCTATGGGCTATATAAATGGTGTGCCACCATCCCCATGGGGTGGCCTGGGCCCACAGATGCCCCCCCCCATGCAGGATCCAGACCCCCAGTGCTCACTCCAAGGTCCAGGGCCCATCTGCTCTAGCTGGATCAGGATGTGATCTGCATATGGCGCCCACTCCAGCTAGTCTGGGGTGAGTGTTGCATGCAGCATCAGTGCTGGAGCAGGAGTCACATGCAGCACACATGTCAGACTGGCCAGAGCTAGCTCTGGATAAGACATGCAGGGGATCCGTGGCCCCTCCCCTCCCTGAATGTGGCATGGGAAACAGAACGGGGTGCCATGTGCACCATGTCCCCAGGACCTGCATGTGGGACTGGTCCAGCATGCACCATATGTGGCATGTGAGTTAACTCAAGACCCAGGGCCAGCAGTGAGGGCTGGATGATGTGTCTCTGGCCTGTGGGCCATAACTTTGACACCCCTGAGTTGATTTAGCTGCTGATTACCTCAAACTTTCTTCTCTCCTTAGGAATCCTCTGTTCTACTTCTATCATTTCCCATTCTTTCCATGACAGCCTAATGCATCCTCAGAGACTGATCTTGTTCCATAAGAATTGGTATACAATGCATTTAGTTCATCCAGCCCAGTATTCTGTCACCAACCATGGCAAATAGCAAATGCTCTGGAGAAAGAGTGTAAGAAACAGGACATGTTCAGAATGATCTCTCCCATATCACATCTTTCAAATTTCTAGCAGTCATAAATTTAGGGAAGCCTGGGATTACATCCCTGACTATTGCATTTTAATAGCCCCAATGGACCTGTCCATTAAACTGAAATTTAGTTAAAGCCCTTTTTTGAACCCAGTTGTACTGTTGGCACCTGCGTTGTCCTGTGGCAGGAAGTTCCATGAGTTAATTATGCATTCCGTAAAAATGTACTTCCTTCTGTTCATTTTAAATTTGCTGTCTGACAATCTTATTGTGTGCCTCCAAGTTCTTGTATTATGAGACACAGTGAATAACAGTTCTCCATCCACTTGTCCCAAACCATTTCCCTTCTCATATCTCCTCTGTCACCTCTTTTCCAAGCAGAAAAATCTTAACCTTTCAGTCTCTTCTCATATGGAAACCATATGGCACATACCTCTCACATTATCTCAAAGGACAGACTTATGAGCAGCCTGACACACTTCAGACTTGTCTGAATTCAGCTTGAGCAGACTCACTAAGAAGGGACACCACTCTTGGGATTCAGCTCAGTGAGAGGAGGCTTCTACCAATGAGATTAACTGATTGACAGACTTCAGAGTTAACAGAGGGAAAAAGGTTGGTGATGATGGTGCTAACTTTTGCCCGCTAGCCTAATGTTTAATGCACTTGCCCAGGAAGTGGGAGACCTGGATTATAGGCCTCCTCAGACTGATAGGTTCCAAGGCCACATCTCCCACTTTCCGGACAGTGCTTTAACCACCAGACCAAAGGTTAGGTAGGGCTGAGGGCATCATCCTCCATCCCTTCTGTTGAAGCTGGGCCAGGGGGGAAGGAATGCAAGAGGCAGGGCCTAGAAGACCATGCAAGGGTGTGCCAGATTGATCCTCAAGGTGGGCAGAGGGAGTCCTGGGTTCTGTCCCTTGTCTGTGTCATAAAAGAAGAGCTTCTGGAGTTCAAAAACTCTTTTGACTACTCCCTCTCAGAATTTTGAGAGGTTTTTCCTGGATCACATCAGCATAATAGTAGGCATCCATGGCTTATGTGAAGTTATCCACAATGTTTGATATCATTGCCAAACAATTTCCTGAAGTGACTATGGGTCAGATTCTGTTTCCATTTTCACCAGTGTATGGTTTCTTTGTATATCTGAGATTAGAAGGTGGCCTTTGCACTAGTTTTGATATCACCAGCCTGTTGCTGAGAACGCAGGGCCCTAAAGTCTCACTAAGTATAGGGACATCATATAAAGTGGTCAATCAATGGCTTTTAAATGATTTAGTCCTTATCTTTAACCAGAGGTATCAAACCTGTATTTCATTGGTGCAAAATAGAAATAGAAAAATATTATGATAGCACTGAAATGAATGGACTGTGAGAACTGTTCACAAGCACTCTAAAGTAGGACTGTTATAAAGAGTAACTGGGTGTTTCAGAAGTGAATTTTAACTAACCACTTTCCCAGGCTTTAAGTTTTATAAAAATGATTGAGCATTTTAACATTGTTTTAACATTATACTTTTCAAGCCATGTAATAGAAAGCAAATTCTCTAAGGAGGAAATATATATATATATATAGTTGCTGGAAAATTAGAAAGATATGTATTATTTTATTTGACATACTAGGAAACACAAAATTACAGGTTACAATAAAGAAGCTGATTTTATTAACATAGTCTTCTCTGAATGGGATCTGATGTTTCTTTCCATTTTTAAAGAATGATTCATAATTTTAACACAATTTTTGGTATTTGCAGAATTTCTGCAAGGGTAAAATATCCCCTCGAAAATCTTTCCTGAAACGTGGAGAAGGCATTGCAAGGCATGAAAAAAGAAGAGCAAGCTTTGGAAAAGAAAAAACCAGGCATTCCAGAAGAGTTAATTTTGACTGCCAGAATCACTTCTCTTGGCCTGGCCGTCAAACTTGGAAATTACATATGGGGAAAGGCTCTTGTTTAAATCGGCGGGCCAGTAGCCCCATGATGTTGGGTACAACTGAGAAAAATACAACCAGTGCTATGTCTGCAAGTAAAATAAAGGATATTGGTGACTGTAAGGCAGGTGATCCTGAGGAAAGGCCAGAAGAAAGAGAAGGAGGTGAGGGAGAAGAGAGTATAAAGGGGGAGCCTGCTGTATCACCACAGATGAACTGGCCTGAGCTCATACAGCAGTGTCATGAGCAAATAAGTGGAATGAACCTCCAAGTAGGTGAGAGGAATGAAACTCAGTGTACTGATTCTCTGTCACACCTTTATGAAATGGATAAAAGATCCATGGAGCCTAAAGTCCCAAAGCAGTTAGATCTTGTGGATCAGTCTGGGAAGGGCAACATGGCAGAGGCAGCAGAAAAACCTTTGGAAGCCCTTCAAGAAGATTCTGTGTTTCAGAACTTAGAAGAAGCAAACCAAGCAAAGCATGTGGATTGGAGCATAGGTCTGCAATTCACGTCCTGCATGAAAGAGGCTCCCAGCTGCCAAAATAAGTTCTGTATTGTGAACCCAAACTCAGAGAGCAAGAGAGGAACCAGCACTGGATTTAAGTTGGTCAATGACAGAATAGTGAAAGTTTCCCATATATCAGCTCAGCACATGGACAGGGAAAAGGGTGACATATCTATTTGTCATCATCATGTGTGTCAAAGCAGTGGAAATGCTCCCTGCCAGTGGAATGCCTTAGCTGTGGCCAGTGAGTCAAGCCACACATCAACTGACAGTGAGGATGATCCCAAATCACACTGCAGTCAGTATCCCACACAGGCTGCACCTCAGAAAATAGGTCGGACTGACAGACATTTGGATCTCTCTGATGCTGATTATGCTAGCGATGATCCCAGTGGAGCAGAAAAGATGGCCCTGAAAAAGCACAGGAAGTCTCAGCCTAAGAAACGGGGGCTTGCAGAGCTTTCAAATCAGCAGGATTCTTCACTAAGCACAAGCAGCAGTGAATCTAGTAATGGAGTTGCCAGGCTGAAAGGGAGTAAGCCTTGCTCCTCTCTTCAAAACTGTCCTTTTCATCCCCCAGGATCCATGAGAGGCCAACAACAGCTTGAAGCAAAGAGTGAGAGTTGTGCTGGGGACATTAAAACTGTAGATCTGCACTCACTACCCTCAATGGGAAATCTTGTAACTACTCTCTTCCCTACTTTCAAGAGTAAAGACACCCTTGCTGAAAAAAAGGGACATAGAAAACTGTTTATGGGGACACTAGGTAAGAACTATTAAGACTATTGTTTATGGGGATGCTAGGTAAGGATTACTGCCATCTTACCCTATGTCAGTAGCAACTGAATTTCTCTTGAAGTATAATAATTCTATTCTTGTACCATTATTATATCCTGCCAGTATTTCTCAACCTGGATCTGGGGGAAAAAGGCCATCAGCAGTAAAAAAAACCAAAAAACTAAAAGTATAACTCAATCTATGTGTGCTTTCCAGTCTCGGGCTCTTTTCTGAGACTGCTAAAAAGTATGGCATTCATCAGTTTAAAATAAGTTGACTTAAGTAATTCAACTTAAGTTAAGCTATGTCAGCGTGTACACACGTACACCTCCTTGACATGCTGGCAGCCATCTTGTGAGCTAAGTTGATTTAACTAATGCAACTCAAGATAATACGCCTCAGAGGTATATTATCTTGCACCACATTTAAGTTGACACTGCTCCACATATGTATATATGCTCTGACAGGTATGTCACCTTTAAATAGTTAAGTTGGCTTAACTGTCAGAAAGTTAGGACATGTGTACGTACCCTCAGTGACACTTATAGCAATGTTTTTTATGATACAAACTGAGAGAAACAGGTTCAAAACCCCTTCGGTTGAGGGGGTGGTAGGGAGAGAGGGGTTATAGAATCAAAACTCTGCATAAGTGGTTTAAAATGCCACTTACATGAAGGAAGGGGAATTGGATTTCTCCATTAATTGTCAAGTTCCTGCAACAGAATTAATACTTAGAGCCACAGCAATGGTTCCAATCAAAATAAAGGCCAAATACATTTTAGCAACCACAATATCATAATGGAATTCATACACTGATGCAGACATCACCTTCATCCTGTCCCACTTACTACCAACAGCAGTGCTTGATTCATGCTAGTAAGCAGAAAAAATGGACTTGATGATACAGGAGGCTCATTCCACTCCAGTGTGGAAGATGTTCTCCTATGTGAAAGTGTTCATAAATAACCACCAAGTTATATATATTAATGTGAATGTCTTTGTAGAAGACACTCAGAAAAGACTGACTGGCAAATTTTTGGAATCGGAGAGGGAGGTTGGTGTGTTTCTTGGAGAAACCCCTCCACTAGCTGGGATGAAAGAAGAGCAGGAGAAAGCAATGCATTTTCTCAGGTAGGTAACCATCCCTTCTCCTGGAAAACAAATCTCTCTCTAGACCTTGATACCTAAAACTAGGCTACCAAACTCGCATTTGGGAACCTGAATAAGTGGCCTTTTTTGCATTTGTGTTTGGAAAATTGAGCCATTTATTTTGGTACCTAAATACAGAAATAAGTGTCTGACAAGGCACCCATGTTTAGAAACTGACCTGAGCTGAGAAATAGGGAATGCTTTGTACAAGTTGCTGAGCATCCTCAACTCTCAAAAAGTCATCAAGAACTCACTAAAAGTTGAGGCACTTCACCCCACATGATCAGGTCCTTAATGAAAGAGAGGATTATCTTCCTACATCACATTCAGATTTACCCACTTAGATGTTTTTGTAAAGAAGTTTATTTCTGAGGTTATTCACAACTTATGACTGTTACTTCATATCCAGGTCAAGCACCACCAACAGTATTATTTTAAGACTACATTTCTTCAAACCAGGCAACAACTGGTATGCATTTTTTTAAGTTTGACTGACGTCTGTTAGAACCTGCACTCACCAACATCTACATTTATACAAACTTTTTTTTGCATTACTGTGTTCTTTTTCTCATTCTCACTAGGTCTGAGACTTTTCTTATACAAAATAAATAGTATTTCTTGGTTTGCCATTCTGTTTGCATTCCTTCTTTAATTTGAACAAATGTTTAAGCTGAAAAACAAATTAATTAAGTGTTCACCTCCGTTTGTTTATGCGCGTGTATTTCTCTGAGTTTTGGATCAGATCCTTACAGCATGTCGTTAAGCAGCTTATACAGTTTTATCCCCATAGTTATCCTTGACCTAAACTATTTTGCATCTATTAAAAATGCTTTATTAAAGGCTGTTTTGGATGTGATCTTGCAAACATTCTGATGTTCCAGTGACTGTGATAAAAATTCCATATATGAGCTGTTGGGTCTGTTTTTTTTTTACATTTGTCATCTGAAAAAAGAAGCTGTCAAGGAAATTAGGCTATTGTTTCTAGTGTAATGTACTGATAGTACTTTCAGCTGCAAAATAATACATCTGATGCAGAATTAACTGCAACATTCATTCAGCATTGTATTCTGTGCCTGTGGATAAGCAGTGCTGTCTGGTGGGGCTGTTTTATAAAGCTTGGTATATTGGCATTTAAAAAGAGTGCTTTTAGTGGAGTTTTGGTGGTGGACGTTTACCTTCAAATCTACACGTGGCTTGCCAGGTACATCTTTATTTCCTTTTTCTAATTTGTAGACCAAAACCCAGGTAGGTGTAGATCAATTAACTGCAGTGGATTTATGCTGATTTATAGCAGCTGAGGATCTGGCTCTGTATTTTCAAAGTAGAGTGTGGCAGGAGCTCTTGTCGGTAACCACAGTGATTGCACTTCACTCACACCCTGTGATGTTTTTCTTTGGTAGAAGCAATAAAAGTGCTTTTGAGGGTCAGATGACATGCCTGGACCTGTCCAGTCATCTACCCCTTATTTGGTTTCCAAGCACATTCTTTTAGAACTATGCAGACACGAGGTTTAGAATTGTGCATCAAATCCACTGCTTAGCAGTGACTGGAGCATGGATAAGAGCTGGAAGGCTTCAGCTCCACTCAGGGGAAATTGAGGTAATTCTTGTTGTGGGCAGCTGTGATGAGACTCACTGGAGGTTGTTTAGGTTTCCAGGACCAGGAGTTTGCTATTTGTGGTGTACCTCCTGTCCTTCTTGTTGAATCCACAGCTCTTCTGATTGCCTTAGTACAGGGGTGGGCAAAATACGGCCTGTGGGCTGGATCCAGCCTGCCGAGGGATTTTATCTGACCCATAATTGGTCCCTTGGCCCCACCTAGCCCAGCCGTGGGAGGCAGTCCAAGCTGGTCCTGCTGCCCTTGGGCACACAACAATGTTGAGATGGTATGGCAGCTGGACTTAGTTTCTCAGAAGCTGCAGCAGCAGCAGCTCCTTCTAGCTACCACCGCTAGTGTCACCTCTGGCACAGGGTCTGCTGCCTGGGCAGCCCAGCCCATCCGCCCTCCACAGGGTCTGCTGCCAGGGGTGCTGGATGGAGTGGGCAAGCAGGGTCTCCATGGAGACCAGCCTGGGACCCGCACAGGCAGGGCACGTTCAGCTGGATGGATGGGATGGGGCCATGGATAGGCGGGGAGCAACCTCTAGGAGCAGGATGGGTGGCTGTTGCTGGGGCCAGGATCCTGGGGTGATGACAGTATGGGCCATACTTATTATTCCTAACAGATGTTCCAGCCCAGGGATATCCAAAGGCAGGATTTTATCTGCATCCTTTACATCACTTCCATAATCCCCAATTTGGTCTTTGAACAGAACACAAATGGATCAGTTTGAGACCATCAAGGTTCAAGAGCTGAACCATGCAGAATACAAGAGAAGTCAAATTCCTGTGCTGCAGAAAGAAAATGTTGAATCTGATAAGTTCTTGGTAACAACTAGAATCACTGGAGAGAACGGGAACTCAGAAGAAATACGAGTAAGTGCTGCTCTGTCTGATAGTCTGTTCACTTTTATATGGGTTCTTTGTCTTTATTGTACTCGAGCCCTTTCAGCAATATCTGGGTGTCAAATGGCGCTGGTGTAGGCTGCTAGGATGTAACTGTTATGTCCAGTTATTAGGGCTGTGCGAAACAGCACCATTCTGTTTTGACTTGCATTTCGATGTTTTGATGGAACAGTGTTTCATTTCGAATTTCGTTTTGATTCGAAACCACTGTTCCATTTCATTTCATTGAAACAGTTTCACTGTTTTGACACTGTTTTGACATTTCACTCATAGGCTATAATGGGGAAGCTCGAAACAGCCTATAACTTTGTCATTTCTGGCCTGATTTGGATGAAACTTGCAGGAATGGTAGCCCCTTGTGAGGACACAAAGCCTGCCAGCTTTCAAGGAGATAGGTATAGGGGTTTCTGGGGCCCTGCATCTTTGGCTGCTGACAGGCAAAACTCGTGACGTGGGTGCTTGTGGGACTGTGTCTGTCTTGGGGCACAGGGGGGTGAAAACTGCAGGCCTGGTAGGCCCTGCTGTGGCCACAAAGCCTGCCAGCTGTCACGGAGATAGGTGTAGGGGGAGTATGGGTTCTGGGGCCCTGCATCTCTAGCTGCTGACAGGCAAAACTCATGACATGGGTGGGTGACACTGTGTGTGTGTTAAGGTGCGCCCTCACTCAGCTGACACCAAGGAAGAAAGCAGGGCAGTTCAAACACTGCTGCCTTTTATGCAGCTTTTCCATCCCTCCCCCAGAGCACTGGGATTGGAAGGAACCTCAGGGAAGGATGACAGTCACTGGCCAGCTGCACAGTCAACAATGAGAGCAGTCCTTCCTCCCTCCTTCCTATCTCTTCCCCGCTTTTCCCCCTCACTCTCCTTACTTTAGTTTCTGTTTCCCTGCAGGCAAGCCCAGCTTGAGCTTCAAAACTCAAAACGTTTTGAAAATTTCAAAATGTTTTGACTTGCCTCATTTCATTTCAAGGCTGTTTCAAAGCTATCTGTTTTATTTCAATTTTGCTGTTTCGAGCTCGAAACAAGTCAAAACAGTGTCAAAACAAAACTGCTGGCGAAATTTCGCACAGTCCTACCGGTTATGCTGGGATGTAACTGTTATGTTCTATTACTACACACACTAACACGGCTACAACTGTGTTGCAGTATTGCAGTGGACATTGATTTGCTTTGTGGTGGGAGATTGCAGGGAACCCAGAGCTTCCCATGCTCTTGAGCTGCCCTGGCAGGGGCTTTGGGTGTTGTAGGGCCCAGTCCTATGCACCTGGGAATTCCTGAAACAGGGGCCTGATTCTGAAAGGTATTGAGCATGTGCAACACTCATTCACATCATCTGGAAAGGTGGGTATTCACCATATGGTAGCCGATGGTGTCTTCACTAGGTGCCTGTCAGCACATCTTCTGTCTTGCACAGGATTACTCCTTTTCCTTGTGCTCCTTTTTCTTTCTTTGGGTCTCCTCTAATCTGGATGTTTTCTTTATTTATTGCTGTGTATCTTAATATCTCTTTTTGCCTTGTTCCTGTCGTAAAGAAAAATCATGGTAAAGTGTCAAACAAGATGGTAGAAGTTGAGCTTTGCTCAGAATTCTCTTGGAATGGTGCAGTAATGTCACATGCCTTTGTCTAATGGCAGATATTAAAGCAACAGATTGCAGGGCTCCAGGAGGAATTCAGAAGAAATGAGTCCCACTGGCATGCTGCCCATGGCCAGCTGAAGAGTCAGATTGAGATGCTGACCAAACAGAACCTGGAGCTTCGAGGTGAGCTCCGAGTTTCAAAGCATCAAAGGCTAGAAGCAGAAAAAAAATCCAGAGTTGTGGATTTCAGAAGCAGAACATCAGAAACCCCGGTATGAAAGAACCTGATGCTCATGGGTATTTTCTGAGAAGTGGAAATGTCTTGTATAGCAATGTATAATTAATCTTGCTGTATTTTTACATATATATTTAATTCAGTTGTAATGAAATGTAATCAGGGTTAGGTACCTAAGCTTCTGTAGGCTTTTTTGAAGATGTCATCCCAAACAAATATTTACTTTTTGTTTTTTAAATTGTTCGTAATCTGTCTGCTAGTTACAGTGATCCGTGCTTTTAATACAGAGTCTAGATCACAAAATTCCAGCAGTACCTTAATCAATGTAAAGGATACCCATGCACAACCATCAACATCCTAATAAAAACAAAGGTTAAGGAAGGCAAAATATGCTTTGAGCCAGATTCTAGCTCCCACTCCACCTGCTGTAGTCCACTTTGGTGGTTCAAGACAGCCATTAAATCCTGTAGCTCCAGGCACTGAAGAGACCCTCTGTGTGAGGGAACCGTCAGATGGCAGGAGGGAGTATAAATCAGGTATGGGGCATAAACCTGAAATTTCTGTAACTCAGGCTAGGGTTCACATAATTCTTGCCTATGCACAGGATCCAAGGGAACATAGTATAGTCAGATGGGGAATTTAATTCTTTGTGTTTACATGTTAGGGTCTTTCTATTTCATTTGTCAACAGAGCCAATAAGCTTTCCAGTTCCAAGGTCTTCTTAGTGTGTAACTATTATTCTGCATTGGTTTCTTCAATATATGAGGCCACCCCTAGTCTAGTGGAGTAATGATGATCTTTGTATTTGTGAGATTGGATTATTATAATAAAAAAACCTAAAGGGGTTTTTTGCCACATGGAAAAAAGGAACAAGTGGTTAGTTCCGCTTGGCATGAAGAATAAATTGTTGATGTGTTTGTCGTAAATTCTCCATTAGGTGTCAGAAGCTATTCTGACAGGATTGTCATCCCTGGCTAAACTGGAAGAAAGCCCATTGAGAGGCAGCCATAAAGGTCGAAGCTCCACTCCCATGGGCAGGAGAACACCATTGGAGAAACAGCATCCCAGAGATGCAAATATCAAAGTATGGATAAAACCTGGGGACTGAGAGTATGAAATGTTATTTGAATGGGGCTGTCAAGATTGGATGTTTGTCTCAAGAGTGCTTGTCTTTCTAAATTATATATGCCATTGTTCAAACAGAAGTTATGAGCTTGAGGCAGGAATTACTGAGTGAAATTGTAAGGCTGGTGTTACGCTGTATGTCAAACTAGGAACAACATTTGCAAAAATACAAATGTGACTGAGAAACTTAAATTTCATCTTTTTTACAAAGCCCTTTTAGTAACATGCCTTATTGTAAAAATGAGGTGTGTGTGTGTGAGAGAGAGAGAGAAGGAGAGAGAAGTTGAGAGTTAGTTTTCTTATGAGGTATTTTTTATAATAAATGTTTGATCTAAGTAAGTCTGCTGATATCATAGATAAACTCCAGATTCAGCAGTGTTGGAGCTTCCGAAGGCCAGGAGGCTTATCCCAAAAGCTTTAATACCAAGCATGTACATTTGACCTGAGGGCCCTGATACACCTTACACTGTGAGCCAAACAAATGTCCATCGACTTGCTGCTAGCTTGAAGTGTGGAGAAGTCACACCTTCAGCCTGAGTGGCACATATATGAGGAGTGGCCACACCTTAATGGAACAGGAGCTGGGTTGCAAGGATCAGAGATAATTCTGCCCTGCTGTGGTGTAATTTTGAGCCACATAATAAGTGCTTTAAGCCACTTTAAGGTGTTAGTGTGCAGACAATCCAGGGGTTAAGAGCTCCAGGAGCTGCCCAAAATCACAGTGTAACAATGTCCTGAGAATCAGGAACACTTAACACTTCCTCTGATGACAAAGTTAAAAAAAAAAGAAAACCCTGGCCAAAAAGGCTAAGTAAAAACCCATGATAAAGTTGAGAGAAGGAATAAAGAAAATCACAGTTTCAAAGTAAATGCTTCAGGAACTGTGAATTAAAAAAATCCATGGACTGCAAATTCCTATAGTTTAGTAAGGTCTTCTCATGAACTGTATGAAAATATTGGCAAAATATTTTCTCTCTCAAGAGGTGGCTACTCATTTATTAAAGCTTCTCGAAGATATAAAGAATATTGGCATGTATTACTATGTATGTATGTATTTCAGCTCATATGCCTGTAGGGTAAAATTTTTATAGTGCCAAGTTAAGTAGTTAACTGGCAAAGTTTAATGGGAATTTGGTCATGTCAGTGGCCTAATCTTTGTATTTTAAACACTGTTAAGGAAAGGTCCTTTTCCTGTATATTGAACCAAATGAACTCTGTGTATCTTTCACTTCCATATTTTTTATTTTAAGTTTGCCAGTTAGCTACCAGTAAGAATAATTTGTATGCTTTCTGTTATGTTATTTTTAATATACTTTTTCTATCAATGTAAACATGTAAATGAACTAATAATATAGGATTTTAATCTGAAAACAACTTTAGCTATAAAAGGGATTGAGTGAAAATATATGCTCAGCTGAATTTCTTCTGGTTTGGGAGTTATCACATATGGAGTGGTGGTAATGTACCTCAACAGACCTCTTCCTGCACTGTATAAATATGTCATTATAGTCTTAACCAATAGTCCAATTGAATTGCTCTGATTTGCTTGCCTGAACTTTTATTTTTAAACCTAAATCAGTAAGACATTTTAAAAAGAGAGCGGGTAGGTGCTGTTGTTTTAGAGGCTACTACTCTGGGTGGCAGAAGGACGTCTCCAGCATGTAAAAATATATATAATACTTTAACAAAATGTGAACACTTTTCATCAGCTCATCTGTAGTTCTAAATAAAAGTGGCTAAGCATATAGATCAAATTTGTACAGAGAAAGGAGAGGATCAAAGGGTGATGCTCAAAATAAGCAGTATCTAAAATGTGCCAAGGCTTAGCAGGTGAGGCTGAGTGACTGAGAACCCCCCCCAGTGGATGTAACTGTTACAAGTACCAGTGTATCAGGCTGTAGCGTTTATGCAGGCTCTTGCCAGTGATGACCCTAGCACCAGTGGGGTGGCAGCAGGCAACAATATATATTAGCAATCGCAAAGTGAGTGTGTTGACAGACTTGTAGAAGGAGAATCCAACAATCCTGAAAAAATGAATGCATAAAATCCCTCAAGGTTACTATGAAGCTAGCAAAGAATAGGCAGAGAGAGTTTAGGACTATTTTGAATTATGAGGTATTTTGCTTTGTTAACTTGGGCAGGTGTTGGGGGCAGTGTGCGCCGTGCATAACAAATGTATGATAGTATGGATGCCAGATCTGCATGGGTTTAAACAGCTGTGTTTGGATGGAGGCAGATTGACTAAACCTTTGTTCATAGTAAGATAATAAAGGAGTGTACTGAATACAGATTTCCTAGGTCAAGTCAGTAATTTGCTACAGAGTAATACAGAGATAATGGGCCATTAGGCACAGCACCTCCCTGTCAGAGTAATAGTTCATAGTTATAAGATCCCTTTCTGTGCAGCTGATTTGCAGATTGTAACAAGAAAGTTTTAGTAGGTTTAAGCAATGATGGTTGTGATCATTTTTAACTTGGGAGCTAGTGTATCTCAGGATGCTTGATACATTATACATTCCAAATATATATATGTGTGCGTATGTATGTATGTATGTATATGTATGTGTGTGTGTGTGTGTGTATGTTGTGTGTATACCGTGCAAATGTGTACAAGATATCAGTCTAGATAGCAGGGAGACCTTGCGGGAACTTAAAGGTATAGAATATCCTATGAACTTTGTCAGGACCTTCATAGCTAAGCAGCTTGTGGGCATGCATTTGGTGGGAAAGCTGGAAGTAGAATTCACAGCTCACAGAGGCAAGCGAATGAGTGTGAAGGTGAATGCCTTGAACTTTAATTTTATCAATGCTTTAAATTTCTTACCCATGAACCTGGCAAAGATGCCTTGGATTTTGAAGGGCTTGGAGACTATTTTCAGCATTCATTGCTGAAGTTGGAGGGGAGAGTGTTAAATTGAAGTTATGACTTGCTCAAGGGGCAGGGGATTGTAGTCAGAATATTGCCAGAGCACATGTGGAAGACTATAGGAGGAACAGACAGGGACCTTTCTTAGTTAAAGAACAGCTTCCTCCATCCTTGGACCCCAGGGATTTTGTTTTTAGGGGCTTGGACTAATGCTATCTGTCTCTATTAGAAGCCTATAGCCAATAAGCACTAATTTTACCAGTTGGTACCTATAGGCAAACAAGGGTGATGAATACTCATTAGGATCCACTGAAATAATTGGTGACAACTTTGTCTCTATTTTGAAGTACTTTGTAACTGCCAAAATTAAACTATACCTTCTACAAGGACTATTTTGGCCTCTTCTCTGTTAAGGTAGATACCAGAATCACTGGTCCCTTTGTGTCTGCTGTGCAGCATCTAAACAGCAGCAGCCTTGCACATCCAGGCTTGATGAGATAAGGGTCATTGCAGGCATCTGCTATAAGGTGGAATCACAAGTAGTTATGAAGAGGGGGCACAGGTTGGTCAGAACCTACAAAGTCTGGAATTTTCTTTAAAACTCAGATAATGTGTTGTCTCAGCATGCCAAATTTAACCTCTGGCAGAAGCATGATGCATCCACATTTGACGCCTGGCATGCTGACATAGAAAAGCAAAAGCAGTGCATTAGTGAACACCATAAGAAAGAAGACATTAATTTACACAGAGATCAAATTGAGGCAAGCCTAGGTAAAAAGCAATTTTCTAACTTGTTTCTAAATTCCTTTTAAGAAAATTTTGGATGGAATTCAAGCCTAACATCAGGTTTGTGAGAAATCGTGACACACTTCTTAAGTGCCTCTTATGAGGTTTCTTTCTGCAAGTGAATTGATTATGAAACCATTTGTGTATTCATAAAGAAGCATTCTGAAATCACCAGCATGCTCATGACTGTATTCACTACTGCTTATGCTCATTTAGAGGTGCATATTCTATTGGACAAGGCTTAGCAATATTGCCTGCTCCATAATACAGACTAAGGTATTTGAAGGTGGTGAGGGATCCTCCTTTGCAGAATTATTTAAGGGACATGACAAGCAAGATATCACCACACCAGTACATTTACTAAGTTTGTGAGACATATTGGGAAGATCAGGTTTGAAAGCATGAAAGGTCAGTCTAAGAGTATTGCCTAGACCCTGTGCAACCCCCACAATCATAGACATAGAAGGGACCTTGAGGTTGTCAACCACTGGTCTCCAGACTGGATCCAGCTAAGTGAAGGTATCTGGTCCACAAAGCTGGTTTAGAAGCAGTAATCCTGTGGTGGTAGCTACCAAGTCAGGAGCACAGCACTGGCAAGAAATGTTTCATCTTCAGAACCAACTGTGCTAATCTGGCCCAGCTTGAAAGCATTGCTGCAGACTATCTACATGCAGGTGTCTGTATTCCTAACTAGAAATGCAATGATGTTCTTGAAACTGCTCCTTACTTCCTTACTCTCCAGGTAACCTGTTCCTATCTTTTTAAGTTTGATGTTATTTTCCTTTTTTCTTGCCGAAATCTCCCTCACTTCCTTGTTCTACCCTAACCTTAACCCTGTGCACTGGATCCAGTATGTGGGCCAGTCTGTGGGTCTAGTCCAGCCTACAGACTGGTCCTGAGCCCCTCATTTGGCTCATGAGACCAGATGGCTTCAGCCCCTGTGCTGTGTGTTCCTTGCACCAGACAGGGTCCACAGTCCTCATGCAGTACACAAGGCTGGTCTGAGACCCACAGACAGCACTGTGGGCTGGATAATAGAGATCGATCCAGCTTATGGGCTATACTTTTGACACCCCTGTCTTAAAGGACACAGAAAACAATTGATTCACTGTCCTCTTTATAACTCTTTACATATCAGAAGTCTAATAGCTTGCCCCCTTCAAACTGTACCATCTTTTTTTTCTACCACAACAGACTCCTGTGAAAACCCAGTAAAAATGCCTGAAGGAGACAGCAGGGTGTGAGAATTGATTTACTGTCAGTTTCTTTTTCAAATGTGGGTCTGCTGAATGAAAACATATCTAGTTGTGTGACAAGAACCTTTGAAAGCTACTTATTAAGGCCTCCCAACAGAAAGAAGATTATATTATGTTCATCCTCTGAGTTAAAAGCAGTAATTTCTGAAATACTTCTAAATGTCATAAAAGAGAAACAGTACTAACACAAAAACAAGCATCTCCCTTGAAAAAGACACCCAAATGCATAAAAAGTGTGTGAAATACTGAGCATTTGCCTAGGCTCAAAAAGACAGAACAAAAGAAAGAAAGCTTGTGAAACAGTTTGGGGAGTTCATTAATGTAGGGCGCAGACAGAAGTGACAATTTTTGCCCAATCTGGCCACAAAAAGCGATCTATAACTGTGACCCAACACAAGTGCCCAGCTGTAGACCACTTCAAAAATGGCCAATCGGGTGAAAATCTGAACCCTCATTGCGTGAGGGTTCAGACGAAGATGTTTCAAAACATAACGTCTTCTGTAACTTGTGTCTGCACTGCCTGCCAGCCTCTGAGGTGTTTTCAGAATGGGAGGGGGGAAAGAGAGTGGAGGGAGTTTGGTTTGGGGTTTTTTCAGCCCCAGCTGGAGGGTGTGGTGGGTGTACTGGACCCCCCCCCCCGAGGTGGGTGGGACTCCAAATCACACCCCCCTCCAGTGCCGACTGGGGAACCCCTAGAATGATCTCCCTCTGCTCCCTTTCCCACCTCCCATTCTGAAAACAGCTTGGAAAGCAGTGGCATCAGCTCTCTCAAAGGCCCTGACATGGTACCACATGTAAGAAAGTTTCCTTTGCATAAAGAACCTTTGATAAAATACTAGCTGTACAGGGTCCATGCTCACATGTGGCCAAACAGGATGCTTCTTCTCTATTGTCTCTATAACATAATCAAAAAACCTTTTACTTGGTCATATTGACAGCAACATTTGCAAAACATATTGTTGTTATTAGATTTTATAAAAAAAGCAGTTCATTCTTGATCTGGAGATGGGACAAAGGGCAAACAAGTTATAATCCTATGTGAACTCCCTGTTAGCAGGGCACATTCTTTATCAGCCATCTATACCAAATTCCTCTTTCCTGCTCTTCCCAGTTTCAAAGTCCAAATTCAGTGGGTCACTTCACCAGATGCATAGAAGCAACAAAACTAATATCATGATAAGTTTTAAGTTTGAGTTTCCAGTGAAGGCTTTTTTACTCATGGAAACAGCCATAACTGCTTTAGCTAGCTTATCCCCTGGTTAGTAATGTATCTGCCTGTGAGGATACTAACCAGCACTATCTCTGCAGGTTCTACAGGTATGTAATACATTTTTACTAACAGTTCCTCCTGTGTGTGATTAAATTTATTACTGTGAGTATGATAGTTTCACCTATACCACTAACACAGCAAAAAAAATCATTAAAACATATTGTATTAACCAAATGTTGGAACACAACAGATGTCTTTGAAAAATGGACATAAGGACCCATGCTGTGACAGGAGTAGGAATTTGCAGGCTTCTCTGTCCTTTCATATGACACATCTTTGTCCTGGACAAAAACATCTGATGGAACCTAGATTCATCCTCACAGGACTACCTACATGCAGGTTTCCAAAGGCCTATAGAAAAGCAGCATCCAGTTTTCAAGTATATCATACTTACTCAAATAGAAGATGGCCCTGATGATAAAATGACCCCCAAAATTATCCCTATGCCAACTGGGGGGGGGGCGTGGAGGGGGCTCATCTTGTATTTGAGTAAATATGATAATAGAAACCTGGATAAGTCATTATTTTAAAGATTTATTCAGTCTTAGTTTGTTCTATCCCTGTTCAATCTGCTTTGACTTCCAATACCCATCTACATTTTTTGTAATGTCTTGCATTCTTGAGCCTCACTGCTTTTGTTCAGATCACTTGGTAGCTCAGCGTGTTCATAAACAGTGCACTCCAGGCTCCATTTGGGTGAAAGGTAGCAGTCATATCCCTCTGGTTCTGAGACAACTTGGGGATTTTGAGCTCTAGGCATATTAGTGTCTCTCTTGCTTGATTGCTCTGTTAATGATAAAGGCCTTATGATGGCGGTGCAGGAATATATATATATTTTTTAGTGTTTCTCTGATGTCAGAAAATTGCTTACAGCCTTCAAGGAAGTTGGCCTCTTTCTCACCTTGAGGGTTTCCAGGATTGTAGTATTGAGCAGCTAGTTATCTGATCTATTTGGCTGGAGGTCCCATATCCCATAGCCCCCAGTACATTTCTGTTGAGGACTGCAAGGCCTGAATCAATCTCAGCAGATAGATCCATAGAGAGACAGAATGTGGAAGGGGTTAGGGGCACTGCCCTACCCCAGAAAATAGAAACAGGCACTAATGACATGCATCCTAGTGGTTGCAATATTGAGGTAGTATCTAGTGAAGGGATTTTTGAGCCCATGGATTACTTTTAACTGGTCTGACAGTTGTGGCTAGGGGGAAACTGTCCAATTAATGGAATGGTAACCCTGAAGTTAATATTGTCTCATTTTGTTATCCAGTCTGAGAGAGAGAAGTGAAAAGCAAACAAGCAGCATAAATACTGAAATAGTAAAGTGTCGTCTTCTGAATTTCTGAAACAACTACATTATTTATACTCACATTACATAAGGATTGCAGTGACATTTTTTAAACATTACATTGTCCATTTAATGCAACAATATTCAATATCTTCTAGGCAGCAAAAAGTGCACTGGAAAAGACTGAGTCTTTAAAATCAGTAACAAGGGAACAGAGAGAGATATCATCTGATCACCTCCATAGCAGAAGTGCAACACCCGCTGGTAGGAGAACACCCCATGCAGGAAGATTAACACCATTTGAGCCTGATAAGGTAACAAATCAGTACTGATTTTCATTATTTATAGTTGCAGTGCAATGTTCAGCAACCTTCGTTGGGATCATAGTCCCTTTATGACATATGCTGTAGAAGAGAGCTAGGCCTGTGGAGCTTACAAACTAGAAAGACAAGTAACCTACATAAGGAATGGGAGAAACAGAGCATTAGAAAGCAGTTAGCTCTGGTTTTGTAATGAGCTACCAAATGTTGACTTTCCCCAGCTGCCTCTCAGCTTAGCCATTAGCAGAGACCTGGTTTTCTCTGTTTAAAAATCCAAAATTCTCTGATAAAAATTACAAGTTTTATGATTAAAAACCCTAAAATTTGTGATTAAAATGAAATGCCACTATATATATATAGGTATCAGTTGAACACAATGTTTTATCAATATATCTACAATTTTAAAGCAGTTTGGAAGCCTACCAGTCCCTCAATCACTGTAATAAATCAATTTTAAATTTTGGCATTTAATTTTGGGTTTTTGCTCACCAGGATGCAGGTCCAGCTGCCCCTTCTCCCCTGCTTTGTGGTGCTAAGCTGCCCTGATATGCTGGTCCCCTGCCCTTTCCATTATCCCTCACTCCTGACCCACAGCCCCTGCAGCCTTGCTGGTGCCCCTCACTCCCCACCCACAGCTCCCCCGTCCCTCCTGGTGCTCCTCCCTACCCACAGTCCCACTCCTCCCGCTAGCTGCCAAAGCTACGGGGCCAGGCACTTGGGTTCACAGCTCCCTGCCCCACCCCCCCATCAGTGCTTGAGTCCCAGCGGCTGCTCACAGGATGTGGCAGCTGCTGTGGCAGAGTAGAGCATGGAGCCTGACTCCCCCTCCCCTGTGGGCAGCATGGCCAAAGTGGAGTCTGTAGTGTGGGGGTGTAGGCTTCCTGTTGTGGGCTTAGGTGGGGGTGGACCAGCTCCCCACCACTGTGCGCCCTCCTGGGATGCAGTCTGGGGGCACATACCTCCCAGACTTGTGAGTGGGGCAGGGGCAGGTGCGGGCTGCCCACTGCAGGCTTGGGCTCCCTGCCCTGCTGCCCTTCTCTCAGGGCCTCTGCATATGTGGTAGGGCAGAGCAGGGTCCAGCACCACCACTGTGAGCCATGTGTCACCATGGTGAGGTTCCATCCATGCTGCCATCCCTGCTGTTGCTGGGCAGGCAGATGACACTTCACCATGGCAGTGCAGGGCTCCCAGCAGTGCTAGCACTGAGCTTCCCTGCCCCTCCCTGTTCTGCTCTGCAATGCCAGGTCCTGTCTGCTGGGCCATGGAGGCCCCAGAAGGAGGGAAGGAGGGCAGGGAGCCCTGAGCCCACAGCAGGAAGCCCACCCTACCCCTGTCCCACATACAGATCTGGGAGGCATGTGCCCCCCATATCCCTCCTCGGAGTGTGTGCAGCAGTGGGGAGCCAGCACCCCCCCCTCCCCTGCCCCCCAAACGAGCCACCCATGGCTCTGTTCTGCTTACTGCCTGGGCCTTATGGCCGCACATTCCAGCAATGAGCCCCAAGCCCCACACACTGCCCAGGCTGGGCAGCAGCCCCAGGCCCATCCCCAGCCCCTACCCTGCCCAACCCCCTCCCTTACTATGGGGGCCTCAATTCCACCCCTCCCCCACCAGACTTACTTGCAGGGAGCTGCTCACCAGGATGCCTGGTAGCCATGTTCCAGGAAAGAAAAGGAAGAAAGTTTTTCCTCTTAAAATGAGACAATCTGCCTTTTCTGCATTTTACCATGGCAAACAGAAAACTCAGATCCCCAACCATTATGTACAGGTTACTCTTTGTGTTGCCTCACAATCAACATTTTTACCTTGCTATGTTGGAGTGATGGAAGAAATTGCTCCTGTTATGCATTTTCTGGTTAATTTCTGCAGAACCAGAAAGGAAATTATGTGTCTACTGCTCAGTCTTCCTTCATTGTCCATCCTTTTCTTCAGTCCTTTCATCAACACATACCTTAAGCTTTCCCTATGCAAGGATTTATTCAGGAAGTAATATTCTTGATTAACTGCATGCATAGATACTCTTACAATGCGATAAGTATGCCTTGTTCATTTTCATTGTAAGTACTTGTGCACACTGATTCTAGAACCAATATGCCTTGTTCCTGGTTACCTTAACCCACTCTTGGGTGGGCTTACTAGGAACAAGGCATTTTTACTTTAGAATAAAAGTATCCACACATAGCATTACTCAGGAATAACTAAAAAGAATATAGGCCTATAAGGAATCTCCTGGATCATGAAGTCTGTCCTCTTAGTGTATACATTATATATTTCTATTAGCAAATTGTTTTGGAATAGTTTTTCATGGATTGTGCCTTCCGTACACACAGCAAGGAGGTTCAGTGTAGTTTTGTGTCAAGTCAAGAACCTTTAGGCATAGAGGTGGTTCTTCAAGTTAGGCCTGAAAGGGTCGCTAAAAAGATGCTGTCAACTGTGACTCAAATCCAAGAGAAATTACAGTTGCAGCTTCAGAGGACATCATCTCTGACCAATTGTACACTGAGAATTCCCAAGTTACAGCAATGGTATGAACGATTCCATATGGTGATCCCTCTCCATTTTGATTCAGGTCACACATCGACCCTCTTATACTGAACCAAGAGCTTATGGATGGAAGTCACTTGTGCCAGTCTCCCACCCAAATGTGTTTAAGGACATTAACTCATCGTCTTACGTAAAAGGTAACTTTTTTTGGAAAGCATTATTGCTACCAGCTGTAATCTACAAGTGAGTCCATTGCATCTTTCTTTTGCTCTAGGAAGGGGCAACACTCCATGTTGCTGTAAATAAGAATGAACTTGCCTCTGCAGTAAAATGGGTTGAATGTGGGAGTCAGCATTTTCTTTAATGAACTTTGAAAAAGGTGTGGAACAACCTTAAACTTCAGCATTTTCATATGCCCTCTGTTGTTTTTTTCACCTGGTAGACAGGTATTCATCTAACTCAGGTAGTTCGGAGGACATGCCTGTCTTGCACAGCCAGAATGACAACATATGTAGCTCAGCTTCCTGCAGTAACAACGAGGAAGCACAGGTATGTTTGTGTGTGCAACAGCGTGATGATCCACTAAGTTTTAAGACTTCAGCTTCCACAGACAGCATGCTAAGTCCTAGTTCCAGTTTAATGAATGGCAAAATAGCACTGATTTCAGTGGTACCAGTAATCTATCTACTTTCCTTTCTCACCCATTGTTTGGCAGTGGGCTCTATTTTTTAAAATATTGTCTTATTTTACAAATGTCGTTATAGATTTCTTTATCAAAGTAGTCCCATGTAACAGTTTGGCATAAGCAGGTTTACAGACTAACTAATCTATATTTTTTGGACACAGGAGAAAGAGAATCTTAGCTTTAAAAAGGCTCAAAAATCCCTGAAACCTTTGACTAAAACTACCTCCTTGACTGCCTCCAGAAAAAATGGCATAACTTCAAGTACCAGCACAGCACCTACAGGAGGTTCTCAAAACTTTCTGGATGCTGAAGCAAAGGTTTGAATTTACTTGAGATACTGCCTTTTGTGCTGATTTCTGACAGTACCAGCTCCAGTCATGCCATTGTGTGCTGCGCTAATATGTTTCATCAGTCCACTCAAAATGAAATTCATAGATTCATTCATTGATTCATAGGTGTTAGGGGCTGGCAAGGACCTCACAAGATCATTGGGTTCAGTCCCTCTGCACTTGGACACCATTTTCGCATGAGCAAAAAACAAATTCCCCATTTCAACCTTCTTTCCTAGCCACTCTAAAATAGAACATTTCTTTCATAAGTTAATATTAGCTGAGAGTCTTCTAAAAGTTCAGGCTTTCTTATTGCCTGATGAAAATGTGTACAATATTGTGAGATAGGAAAGAAAGTTTTTTCTATCTACAAGACTTATCTGCTCACAGCTCCCATGCAAAGCTCAAAGAAGGAAAAGTAAATATTTTATTCTCCCCCCTACAATTTAGCTGCCACTTCACAGCTGTGCAGTGTGTGTTTTCCATCTGTTGCCTGACATTGCTAATGTACTTCCCAAGGCTTTGCTGCAAAGGCAGCACTCAGAGGCTTTTGAGATGTCTTGAAATAGATAGGCAGGCAGCAGACTAAAAAAAAGCCAAACTGATTTGGGTTGTAGATAGATCTGGACAGGGGAGAGAAATAAGAATAGGAGGCAGTTGCATTTGAGAAGGGAAGCCACTGGGAAACATGTCAAGAAAGTAATGCTGAAGCTGAGGGAGGGCATTATATTAGTGGTAAAGGATTAGGCCTTGCTAAAGAACAGTGCAGAGGATAGACAGCTTTGGGATGTGGCTGGCAGTCTCAAGAGTTGGTGTACCTTTCCCCATAAACTCTGTGGAGTTGGGCCTTGGCCCTCCTGTTGGGCACCTGAATGCATCCCTAACTGGAAAAGAGAAATACATTGTGTTCCATTGTACTCCTACCTCCAAAATAAATGGCATGCTCCCTGACTATAGGTGATATCAGCTGAAACTGATTTGTGGCACTGTGAACTTAAGTCTCATTTACATTGAGAACCCTTTACACCCTTGATGTTTGTACTGTTGCCAGAGTAGTGTAAATGAGAACTGGACCTCACCCTTGGGTACCACAGGCATATGAGGCACCCTTGTGTACTTGGCTCCCATGGCAATGGCTTTTTAATTAAGAATGCATTATATTGAAAGCTTGCCTAACTTTGGACCAATTGCATGGTTGGAACAATAAAAGATATCACTGAGGAAAACCCTTGCTTCTTGCACATTTACCCTCTCCACAGGTGTGTGCAGGGGCATGCGTTTGCCATGGCACAAATAGCAGGAGCACAAATTTATGTTCCTGCTTTTTGCCACTGTGCACACCCCTGCATGTGGAGTTTGCTGCAGGGCAAAATGGTCCACTTCGGAGAAACTACCATTTCCCTGCTCCTAGCTCCTGGCCTACTGGAGGATCCAAGGGATACCTAAACCAGTGGAAATGCCCTGGCTGGCAGCCAGAGCATCTTCCTGGAGGACCCAGACTCCAGTTGCTCTGGCAGATGCACCATGCCACTTTTTTTTGCAGCGTTTTTTTTTTTTCATTCCAGGAGTTATCAAATTTTGGTGCTATGCTACAAATTTTCAGTAAAGTGAAACAGCTTTGAGGTGCTGCAAACCACATGTGCATGCTCATTTGGATGTGCTCCCTTTTGAAAAATTTACTTTCAAAGTGTATTGTTTGGCTCTCTCCTTCCCCTTAAAATTGTCCCCTCAGGCCAAATCTAGATGAGTGTGGATGTTTGGTTCCTTAGGGACAACTAGTGGTGGTGCACCTTGTGCAGTCAGTAGTTGTGCCCAGGGAATACCCGTCAACGTGCACTGTGGCTCATGGCAAGTTACCCCAGATTGGGTAGGGGAGGCTGGGGCCAGCACTGAGCTGGCCCCAGCAGCCTTACCTAGGGTCTTGGGGGCCTCCTGGGGCTGCAACAGTGGCTATCCTGCCACTTGGAGCCTGGCTGGAAGCTGTAGCATGGCTCCACCAGCTCTGGTTTTGAGCAGCAACACACTGTCCCCACATACACCACTCATTTTTTTGTGTCAGTTTTTTTAACCTCTGGATATCCAGGAGTGAATCCTTTCCCTCCCCCCGTCCTGCTCCCTAGCAGCACAGAGAACAACTGAACATGTGGTATGTGGCACTGCAGATGTGTCTTTGGCACCACATACCACATGGCCACACTAGTTTTGAAGGCAGCCTCTGTGTCATTTTGTTTGCTTTGAGGCAAATGATGTGAGTGAACTTTCTGATTTAAAAATGAGAAGGGAACTTAATGAGAAGGAAACCAAAGAAGCATAAGCGCTGCCACAGAGAAAATGAATTGGTTCTTGCCACAGATTCTTTTTCTGAAAGAACAGTCTTTTACTGTATGTCCCATATATTGACCTTTGACATGGATTGGTGTTTATAATGGTTACATAGAGAGTTATATTTTCTGATTAAGGCTATTGAAAATATTAGCAAAAGTCTTTGTTTCAATAATGGCATACAATGTTTTTGTAGAATTTGCTGCCAAAGTCATCGTTATCAAGAAGGCAATCACTGTATGAAGAAAGAAAGAAGAATGATAAGGAGGTGCGAGAAAAAATAGAGTATCCAGATGGAAAGGTGAGAGATCCTGGATGTGTGACTATATGGAAAAGGTGACTAGGATGAAAAAGGCAACCTCTGCTATAGGGTTTGAATTACTATTATGTACCTTGAAAGGAACATTTTGCAAATTAAGTTTCTTTTCTCCACAAATGTGAACATCATGACATGTCTTTTCTTGGGCTAAGTACAGGCAGTGAAAAAGCCTGAGGATGAGTTGCTTCAGTCTTTGTAGGATAGTCTAAACTGCAGAGATTAAATTGAAACAGAAGTAAACAGACATTTGTGTTTGATTCAGGAAATGCAGCCACATGCCTGCAGTGGCTCAGGCCAGAAGCCAGGGGGTGCTAGAGCATGGCTCTCTGGCATGTAGTCAGCATGGATTGTATGTTTGCTTCCCCTTCCTGCTGCCCCTGGGGTCCCTGGGATTTGCGGTCCAAAATCACAGCAGCAGGACTATGCAGCAAGGGTGTGCAAAACGAGCCCTATTCGATTTGGATTTGGATTCAGCCCAAATCAGGGACAGTGATTTGATCTGTTGATTCAGATCACTGTCCCTGATTTGATTCGACTAAATCCAAATCTGATGGTTCAATGCTGATTCGGTGAATCAGTGATTTGGACACAGCTTTAAAAGTTTTTTCTATATACCTTGAGGTAGCAGGTGTGGCTCATGATCGCTGTGGTGCTGGGGTGGATGAAGCATCCCACTGCAGTGCAGGGGGCCCTCCATGTGCTCGACAGTGAACCCAGAAGTGGACCGGAATTACTTCTGGTCCACTTCTGGGTCCACCAGGGAGCACAAGCCCCTCTCCCCCCTCACCCCGTCCCCTCCCCAGGCCCAGTGATTGGCTGCAGAAGGACCCAGGCGACACCAGTTGCCAAGTCGTTGGGGGGCCCCAGCATGCTCCCTGGTGGACCCAGAAGTGCTTCTGGTCCACTTCCGAGTCTGCTGCCAAGCGCGCTGGGGAGCCCCTGGTGCTTCTGAGGGACACTGCATCTGCCCCAGCACTGCAGTGTTCAGAGCCCCTGCTACCTAGAGGTATGTAGAAAAAACATTTAAAGCTACATCTGAATCACCAAATCTGTTCGAATCTCTCCAAATCAATTTGGAGGGTTCCAAATCGATTTGAAGGGATTAAAGGGTCCTCTGATTCAATTCAGATTTGGAGATGCAGCCACTGAATTGGGCCGAATCTCCGCCGAATCCAATCAGGGATTGAAGCTTCGCACAGCCCTACTATGCAAGGTTGCTCATCACTTCTTCCTGCTTCCAGGTGCCTCTGGGATTTGTAGCCCACAGTCACAGCCAACAGTAAATTTGAGCAGGAGAAGGAGAGTTTAACCCCTCTCCCTGGCCCCAGACCCCAGCCAGCTGTGGGGGGGTAGTCCCCCCCACCCAGACTAGGCTGCATCCCTAGCTGGGCTTGCCCTCTCCCACCCACTTTGTCAGCCAACCCTCACTGCTTTAGCTAGGGAGCAGAGGGGCAGGGCCAGCCCTGCTCTCGGGAGCAGACAGCATAGCCCATCCCAGGGCTGCAAAGCATGCTGGAAAGCTGGGGGACTGTGATTTAACTTGAACCAGGAAGGGGTCTGGAACAGAAGTTTCATAAATCAGTTTGACCCAAATCAGTTAAGTCTGAGACTACATTCAACCAGGTTTACCTTAAACCGGTTTCAGCCATTTTGACAGTTTCTGATCACTTAAACAGGTTTATGTAACTTCTGTCCCTAGCCTTAATGATCTAAGACTATAATGGACTGTGAATCCAGGCAGCTTGGTCCTCTTCCCAGCTGTGCCATTGGTTTTCAGTGTAATCTTTGGGATGTCTTCCCTGCTTTAGTTGCCCTGTTAGCAAACTGGAAGTAATGATAACTACCATGTTTAGGTGAAAATCATCTACTTAAGCAATGATTGAGCTTTGAAAAATAAAGATTAAAGACAGTTTCTTTTTGTTTATTTTTCTTTTGAAGTGATTCTAGTGCTAGAGAAAAATTACAGCTCTGGTGACTTAAAGCCTTCTACTGCACACAGATTAGGTACAGATGAAGTAGTGACAGTGGTGGCACTCTCTCACTGTACGTAAATAATGATCTTCAGAGGCCATCTCAGTTTGTACTTGGAAACTAGCTCATTCATTCTGAGACTGGCTGTCCCAATAAACTAGTATCAAAAACAGTTGTATCACTTAGGTCTGTGGAGCAGCACTAGTTCTAGTACCTTCACAGGAAGCATATCTGATGTCTGAACTCATTTCAACTACCACTTCTGTTATTTATCCAGGCAGTCCTGTCTTGTTCAACTCTTTCTTCAGTACTAATTTAGAGAGAGACACATTCTTTGCAACTGCTGTCAGCTCTGGGACAATTTTCGCGTGTAAATGGAGTTTAAAACATGTGACAACAGTTCATTTTTTTATTTCTGTTCCTTCTTTGGCTTTTCTGCTAATACTACCAGTGATGCTGTCAATTCATGCCAGTTGTTGTAGTTTTTGTGATATAAGCATCCATCAGTGAAGGCTGGTCTGAAACCACCCACTTTTTATAGTTCATGTTAAGTGGACTTTTGGAAAGTTCTGCCTATCATAGCTCCTTCTTACAAAAATGTCAAATGCAGTAGTTCAGCAGCTTGAAAGAAAATAACTGAAAAGAATTGGCCCACACTTTTTCACTGCTGTATTAAATTAATAAAATCATGAGATGGGCTGGCCTTTTTGTGGGGCTGGAGTGAGAATTTTATGGTATTAGAGCAGGAGAAAAACAACAATTCCTGCCCTAAAGCACATGGGCTTGCTAGTAGCAATATTTCTTGTTTTAAATTGCTCTTAAGAACAATTTTAGTTATTAACCTCTAATGTTTAAGTAAAAATGTATTTGAGGAGAAATGTGACCTTAAGAAATAATTTTTCTGCCTGTTTTCAGAAAACCCTAGGTCCCCCTTCCCCTAAATGTATTTATTGTTCCTCTTTGTTGTGGGAGACCTTCCTTCCCCATCAGGGAATCTCTGATGATACCGGAGCCATAGGGTAATATTAAGGAACAAGTTATTCTGACTTCTCCACTGAGATTTTACTAAATGTGGTCTATTATGTAAATCAGTGTAAGCTGAACAAAAGCAGACACCCAAGCAGCTCCAGCAAAGATGACTTGAGTTAACTAGAGGCTGTGCTAGACAGCAGATCTTGTCTGAAACATCAGCTGTAGAAACATGCACTGGTGACATGTTTCTTCTCATCAAGAGCTTTGGCAGGATTTTCTAGGAGTTCTCTGCATGCAGCAAAGTTAATTTATATAGAGCTGATGCACTTCTGATGGAGTTACATTATCTGGAAATACGACAATACCTATTTTTTGTTCTCACCCTAAAATAACTCATTGAGCCCCATCATTTTGGTCCTCCTTTATTCAGGTCTCCTAGATGATTTCATTTCTTCTGACTTGCATGCAGTATAGATACAGAATACAAACTGGAACTAGTGCATGGTTGTCAAGGCCTTAGCTCATCACAATGGTGTGGCTAAGGAATCTCTGTCTTTCACAGAATCACAGTGCTCCCTTACATTATTAAACTTGAGTTGTCTGATACAAAAAACTACCTGGCCAGCCTCTTGCAAGACAAAAGTAGGATTTATATAAAATAGATGTCTAATGTTTAGCTGTTTCCTGGCACACAGGTTATGCAGAAATTACTTAATGGAGTAGCAGAAGTAGGCTATGAAATACTGTGATGTAGCTGGGAGTCCCTCTGTTAATTAAGTATTGGGGGTTATTCTCCTTTGGGTTACACAAGTGCCATTTCACTGACTGCACAGAGGCTGCACTGGTATTTCTAGGAGCCAATTCTGGCATGGCTTGTTTTTATTTGTGTGCTTAAAGGTTGAAGAGGTACTTATTGATGGCCGTAGAGTCATTACTTTTCGCAATGGTACCAAGAAAGAGATCAGCGCTGATAAAAGGATGACTGTGGTTAGCTTTTTCAATGGAGATGTGAAGAAGATCATGCCAGACCAGAGAGTGGTATGTAAACATTTTGGCTTTCCTTTTTTTCAAGGAAGAAAAGCTTTTATATAAATTGTGAAAGTGATTTGTATGACATTTTTGGGCAGTAGGGAAGGAGAACATTTTCATTTGGGATCTAAATGAGAAGGGTGGTAGTGAACTAGGCCAGGCAGGCTGTTCCACAAAGAAAGGGAAGCATGGAAGAGGATGTAGGCTAGCAACTAAGCAAGGAATAAATACAGCATTGTTGCCAGCATCTTGGGTGGACAAGTGGAGGGGGACATGTGAGACAAGGTAGGGGGATATGTAGCTCTTTGGAACAGGGATTGTTTCCTCCTTACATATTTGTACAGGGTCCAGAGCAATGGGGCTGTCTTTTGGGTGCTGCAGTAATAATGATTATGATAATAGTAATGCAATGATGACCTCATAGTAATGAAATGTCAGCTGGGATATAGATTTGAGGGATACTTTGAGATAAAGATGAATATTTTAGTCCAAATAAAGTGTGTTAATAGGAATGATCCAGTGGTCAAGGAAGATCATTTTAACAGCTGTATGTGTCTGTTTTTTGCTATACTTGTTCTTTATGCTGCTAAGTATGAGCACAGTGCTTGAACCATCACACCACAGGTTAGGTATTATGCATGTCTCCTCTTGAAGCTGAGCCACTACATCTTGCATTTAATAGTCACTGGTTAGAGAGCAATGAGGAAGTTTCTGCTGTATTGGAAGTAAGACTCCAGTCTAGAACCTGCTCCCTTCAGGGCAGCATCTGTTCCACTGGGCCACAGACCCTCCAGGTGGCTCTTATATTTGTATAAACACATATTGCCCTCTCCTGGCAGTGCAGGGGGGCACATTAAGTAGTACCATACTGGGTCAGAACACAGGCCAGTCTAGCCTATGTATATCATATTGGCAGAGTGAATCCTGAGTGGACGAGTATGTATGCAGAACCTACCCAGACTGATTTTCCCCCTGCCCCTCCTCTCTTCCAGCTTCCAAAGGAGGGGGTGAATAATGCCTAACCTGTAGTGTGGTCGTTAGAGCACTGTGCTGGGAAGTCAGAGAGAGGGAGTTAAATCTCCTTTAGATGAGAGGGTCTAGAACCTTTCTGGGTGACTATCATAATAACTCAGCTTAAATATGGATAGAGTCCTCTTCTACCTGTTTAATACCTGCCAACCATAGGGAGGTTTGTCTGGCTAGAATTTTGTGACTAAGACGCATATGGCTGGAAAGCCACCATTTTGAGTGCACAATAGGTAAATGAATTCAACACTCAAAGTGGGGTAGGTTGTAGCCATGTTGGTCTAAGGACATAGGCAGACAAGGTTCTTTGGGTGAATATGATAACTTTTACTAGACCAATTTAAATCTAAATTTAAACTTAAATTTAAGTTGGTCTAATAAAAGATATCAGATTCACCCAAAGAACCTTGTTCAACACTCAAAATCACTTTTCCAGGAGAGTTTTTTTAGGTACATTTATTATAATCATATTACTATGAAAATATTGTGAGCAGACTACAAGCCCTTCACTATGCTTGCAGACTTATTTCTATGCAGATGCGCAGACAACCCACACCACTTATCCAACTGGCTTGGAGGTGCTGCAGTTCCCTAATAATCAAATAGGTATGTAACAGCTTGTAAACTTGACTACTTTTGCAGGATTGTTTTATTATTCTGACCCTGGCAGACTGGGATGTGTCTCTGGGTTTGATTGTATAGTTTCATTGAGTTGTTATGTGATAATGGGCAAGTCATTAAGTCTCTTTGTACCTCTCATTCTCCGTCAATAAACTTCAAGCCAGTGATACTTGCTTTGAGATCTACTAAGGTAAAAGTACCATTTACATGCTTATCATTATTGTTATTTGTTCTTTTGTTTAGTGGTATATCATCTGTGCTACCTTTCCCTCTGTTATGTTCAGTAAAAGAATATAATGTAGTTTCAAAGAAACCAATAATGGGGGAGTTTCTAAGCAGACTTTTTTTCCTACAGAAAAACACCATCCTGATGGCACCAAAGAAATTGTGTTCCCTGATCAAACAGTGAAACGTCTCTGTAATGATGGACTGGAGGAAACAGTTTTTGCAGATGGTACTTTAGTAAAAGTAGAAAAGTAAGTTTCATGCAAGATGTCATGAACTGGACATAGAGCGTATGTGTAATGGTTAGATTTGAGTAGTGAGCGAATTCATAAAACTTTAGATGGATTCTTAGAAAATGACATCTTACCAAGGGCATGTTAATTGTGTTCTAAGTGTATGCAGATTTATTGGAGACCTTTGACAGGATGGAAGGAAGAAGGATTTGGAATATAATTAGAGGAATGTGGCCACCAAAATGAGGTGTTGGGATTTATTGTCTACTGCCTTGCACCTTGTGTAGTCACTTCTAGCTGGACTGAGTGGGTCCTAGTTTGGTCTCATAGCACCTTACTTGCACTTTGTGTGCACTCACCTTGTGTAGCTGTAAATGACTGACATCACATGCAAGGTGCTGTCAGGCATGCCATGGTTAGAGCACAGAGGGATTGAAGATCAGGAGCCCTGGCTCTGTCCCTACCACTTCTTACAAGTTACACCTGTGCCTCCGTGAGAAATGTGCAATAACAGAAATAGTACTGTCCTATGCATAGCTCATAAGAGCACTGTGACAATTGCTGTTTGTAAAGTGCCTTGAGGTCCTTGGATGAAGAAAGCTGTGCAAATGCTGATTACATTATTCATTGTTATTTCAGTTACACTTATGAACTTAAGAGTCTGTGTGATAAAGATCTGATTGTGAGAACTGCTGAGGGCTATTATCCACCTGTAAATGCCATCATAGTTAGATGGTTGATGGTCTGAAATGAAATGAAATTGTCACAGGGAAGCTTTTCCATATAACTTTATGTTCCACTCTCACTGCTGTAAATCAGTTCTATTCACACAAAGACAGTCTCAGCTGTGCTTTTCCCTGAATCTCCTGCAGTGGAGAAGGCAGTACATAGGTTAGAGTTTATCCCTGGTGGCACAGGGAGATATCAGTTACAACTCCTTGCACCAGCTGAAACTCGTACACTAAATGAGGGATTCACTGGGAGTGAAATCAGACACACAACTCTGACTTCTTCTTTATATCTTTTACCATATTTCTCCACGGCCCCATGCTATCCTGGCCAATGCTGATCCCTCTGGAGGAGGTCCCAGCCATCAGCAAAGGTGATACTGCTGCAGCTTTCTGTTCTTGCAGTTTCTCCCCGGTATTTTCTGCTGCCAAGAACTGTGTTAGGTTATACTGTAGACTGTGGGATGCATCTGGTCCTCTTGTTGTTTTCAGAAATGGAGATAAAGTGGTGATATTCAGTAATGGACAGAAGGAGATTCATACTGCACAGTTCAAGAGGAGGGAGTACCTTGATGGCACAATAAAAACTGTGTACTCCAATGGACGACAGGAGACAAAGTATTCCTCTGGACGGGTTCGAATCAAAGATGAAGAAGGCAATATCATCCTTGATAAGAAGTGATTCATCTCCCTGATGTGCCAGGTTATATGTAGGTGGTCTGTCCAGGCTAGTTTGATATCTTTATCCCTCGGAAGCGCACAACTGTTACATGATTCTTTCTTTGTCTCCTTACCTGTTTTTCTGTTCCCTGAAATAACTAGAACCTGGCCTTGGAATATTTAAGTTCTTGCTTTTCCAAATGAACATGCTGGGTTGAATTTTATTTATGCTCAGTGGGTGTGTCTACACAAGACACTTACTGCACATTAGTGTAATAACAATGTGCAGTAGTGTGTCACAACAAAAACTGTGCTAATACCCTATTGCACAGTGTTATTAGGCTCATGCACAGTAAACGTCACTAAATAACCATGTGCTGGCACTACTACACAGTAACTCTAATTACTGTGCATTCAGTTACTACTTCATTAAGGAAGTACTAAACTAAATGCACAGTATATAAGGGGCATTAATGAACATGTAGTTGCGCCCACTGAATGTTAGGTGCTTAACCTAATGGGTAAGCCTAATGGGTGAGCATCTCATGAATGAACTGCAGTCATCCCCACCTCACACAGATACTAACACACCAATGCTCCTTTTCATAGGAGCATTTGCCTGGTGATCATGGCCAAAATGTCCCTTCTCTCTA